AACACTGCAATCATGTCTCCTCTAGTCCTTGTTTTCATTAAACTAGACATACCCAATTCCTGCAACCGTTCCTCATATGTTTTAGCCTGCAGTCTCCTCATCATCTTTGTTGCTCTTCTCTGCTCTCTTTCTAGAGTCTCCACATCTCTAGGATGTCTCCCAACTCGGATAGGCTGTTTTGTTACAAAATGCTCTAAGTCTCTAACGGCGAAATGGCCTCAATCAAACCAACCCATAGTTACTTTTGATTTATCTAGCTTGTGTTTTCAAATTTGAATATGGTTTTCCAAGCACTTATCCATCTTTTTCACTGTCCTTTCCACCTGTACTTTTGCTACTGATCCTCTCAGGTGTGCTTTACCTGCCCTACTTGGCTAGATGTTTTCCCTTCGTTGTCATTTATCTTATTTCCCCTATGGTTATTTCCTTCTTTTATTTTTATGACATTTCTTTGGCCAGTCGGAAAAAGGAGAAGAAAGAAGGGGAGCCAGAGGAAGAGCAAGCGGAAACCCCCCGGATACATGGCAACGAAGAAGAAATGATTTACCTTAACACAATAAAGCCATCTAAAGAGAATGAGGAGGAGCAACTCAACATGTGCCACAAACCCAATGTTCCAGGAAGCCAAGCTGCTGATAATGTATGAAGCAATCTTGGGGCAACTGAGAATAGCAGCCTTCTCCTGTGAAACAAGGGCTTGCATAACACTTGCTAGGTGCATGAGGGACCGTAGACCCACTTACAAATATCCCTGAACTACAACTCCCAGAAGCCCAACCAACACAGCCATAGGCTAGAGTTGCAGGGAAGTTCAACCCAACAACATCTAGGTGCTCATGGATTCTCCTGGGAAGTCCCCATCCACACCTGTTAAGTTGACCCAATGGTATCCAGATATGGGGACTTTCAGTTCCCAGAACCCCAAGACAGCATAGTCAGTGATGAAAGATGACATGACTTGTAGTTCAGCAACATCTGTAGAGATTCAAGTTGCCAACTCTTGCTGAATTGATCCGGCGGTTCCAATCCTTTTTCTTCATGTAGATCCGTGTTTTTCAAATTTGGGAACATGAAGATGTGCAGGTTTCAACTCCCAGAATTTTGCTAACTTGTGAGAGAGGGAGATGGGCAGTTCTTAAATTATCACCATCGTTTTAACGACCTCATAATCCCTTGCGGGGTGGAGTCTGGGCAAATGATGCTAGCAGAGTGTTTTAATGGCCAGATTCCCTTCCTGTTGCCAATGCAGAGTTTTGTTCGGCAGATATATTCTTGGTGTGCCCAGAGAGAGAAATATCTGCCTGGACCTAAGATGGAACCCACAGCCTCCTGATTGTGAGGCGAGAGCTCCCCCTCTAGGCCACAACTATGACAAAGGGAATAAATAAATGTGGGGAATGAAGGTTCACACATCTTAATGTTGCCAGTTTTGAAGGATACTTATGGAGTCTATTATATCAATACATAATCTGAGAACAATAACATGGTGCTCTTAAGCAGGATGGTGCACAAAATGACTTTTGCAAAAACTTAAAAATTAAATCAAAAATATGCCAACAGTCTAGAGAGATTTGTTAATGTGACAACGTGTGGCCCCAATCATTTGTTGTGTTTTGGCATTTACTTCATGGACCAATCCTAGCATTGTCACAAACGATGGTTTGAAACTATTAGTTTTTACAGCTAAGTTGTACGGTAATTATATTTACTCCAAGAATAAATGTTGGGTAGTCCCTCTTCCACAGGAGTCTGGTACAAACAGGAATGATACAAAAATGAGGACAGATTTGCATCATGCCACAATATCATGATGCAAATCTTGTCCTTTCATATATGGGGTCCAAGTCTTATGGTATATGTCGTGGCAATATGTCATCATTCCCTCCTGCAGACCCCTCCAGATAGTCTAAAGCCCTTAAAACATAAAGTTTAACTATTTTTATTAAGTCGTTTGAACTCAAAGACTTTCCTCTGGTTTTGTTCTACATTTTTCAAGGAGTTAAGCACCAGCAAGGCCCATGAGACTATGGAGATGCCAGAAGATTATGAGAATGTATCAACAGAAAAGACCACTGGATATTTTGGGATAAGCGACTGGCAGTTCCCTTTTGGCTCTGATCAACTCTACTCCAACATCTGATCCAACATGGGCAAAAGATCTTGACAGCTCCTGTGTAACAAGTGCTTATATAACACTTGCTAGGTGCATGGGCGACCTCTGACCCTTTCACAAATACCTCTGAACTACAACTCCCAGCAGTCTAACCAACATGGCCATAGGTTAGAATTGCGGGGAGGTGCAATCCAACATCATCTAGGTGGTCTTGGACTCTCCTGGGAAACCCCCACTCACACCTGTAGGTTCACCCAACCAGCATCTCCTCCCCAGACAGTGATTGGGTAGAAGAGCATTGGGAGGTATAACTGCAATTAGAATATTGAAATGAAGAAATTTGTGGGAATCCTTTTATCAAGGAATATCTCTCCAGAGTCCCTGGGAAGTATTATTATTATTATTATTGTAAACTCTCCCCGCTACTAGGAACCTTCCTGCTAGAAGTAATCCTCACTTAATGACTCTTTCAGTGATCGTGTCAAGTTACAAGAGCACCGAATAAGTGGGACTAGTGACTGGTCCTTTAAGTTCTGGTCTTCTCAATGTGCTCACAATTACACACAAATCAATGGGGAAGCCAGCAGGAAATCAATGGCGATCACATGGCATTGCACGTAATAACCATATGGAAGTCACTTAACCATAGCAATGGGTGCCAATTACTATTGTTGTTACTATAGCCATCATTACATGTCCCAAGTACAGCCGTTAAGTGAGGACTAACCAGTATTTGAAAGGAAAGGCATGTTGCCTGATTAGAGCTAAATTCCCAAGGCTTTAATGGAAATATTGATAATATTAGCTCCCTTCCTGCCATATTCCTGGGGGAAATATTATTGATCACCCAAAGTACCTACCAGGTCTACTTGTTGAAACTTAGGGAATTGTAACTCTTTTACCACCATTACAACTATCCCCTTTTTTTTTCTTCTGAAACTCAAAATGTTCCTTCTGTTCTGAGCCAAATGAATTAATAGATTTGGCTCTCAGGCTTTCAAATTATAAATTTTTGTACTTAGCATGCATTCCTGATGCTTTATCAGTGTGGATTTGGAGACGGTAGGGGAAATCCTCTGGAGATTTTTATGGATGATTGCATAATTATTCCAGTTTTTTTAAAAAATGCCAATCCTAGGGGATCATCATCACCTCACGGGGTTCCTGTGTCTTGAAGAGCTAATTGACCCCTACACCTCACATAAAATCTGCACCACATTTTTGCCTTCCATGCAGATGTTTAAAGCAGAGATGCAGAACAAAAAGGAATGGATAAGGAAGAGGGTCAGGGGGGAAATTCAGCAGGTTCTGGAGAACCAGTAGCAGAAATTTTGAGTAGTTCAGAGAACCAGCAAATACCACCTCCGGCTGGCCCCAGAGTGGGGTGAGAATGGAGATTTTGCAATATCCTTCCCCTGCCATGCTCACCAAGCCATGCCCACCAAGCCACACCATGCCCACCAAACCACACCCACAGAATTGGTAGTAAAAAAATATATGAATTTCACCACTGAATAGGGCCTATATCCTTGTTGGCTGAGTAGATTCCATGGCTTGATTCGAAATTGTATGGGTCTTTAAATACATTTCTGTTGAGTCATTCCAACCTTTAAGATCAGGCTAATCAGGTGATTTGTGGTTTGCCTTTTTTTTGGGAAGGCCAGATCTTAGGCAGGAAAATATCATCCAGAGGTAGAGAATCGCAAATCCATAACAGCACATATGAGATAAAAATACGTTTAATTCTCAAGAACTGACAAGAACATCACACAAAACGAAAACACCACATACTGTCAAACTAATAAATAAGGAGAATGTGTCAGGAGACCTGGAGACCAATGGGAAGAGGTATTTTTGGGGAGGTGGTCATTTCTACACGGGAGAAGGGTATCTCCATAGCAGAGTTGTCATCTCTCATGGACTTGGTCCTCTTCATGTCCGGCAACAGTAGCCAAAACCCTTGTTCCCACAACAGTCCCAGCAATATCTGCAGAGAGCAATGTGACTGATGTGACGCTTGGATCTTCCTAGCAATGCCTGTGGGGAGAAATAAAAAGGATTTACTTTCTGGGTGTGCACAAGTTTGGATTTCAGAAAGAGGATTTACAATGAAGATCAGAATGCAACCTATCTAGAACTACCGGTAGCAATGGCTTCCAAGGGATCTCTTTTGTTCTTATTTAACTTTTCATGACACCTGATTTGAACATGTCTAATCAAGGCTTAGAGGGATGCAGTGGCTCAGTGGCTAAGATGATGAGCTTGTTAATTGGCAAGTTCGGCGGTTCGAATCCCTAGCGCCGTGTAACAGAGTGAGCTCCCATTACTTGTCCCGGTTCACCGACAAATGTGCACCCGACAAAAGCGCACCAAGACCGTGGCAAGAAAACTGTGAGGTTGAAATCGTGCCCACAGAAGCGTGCCGAATAATGCGTGCCAATGAAAGCGCGCCATCAAGAAACAACGCGAAAACAACGTAATAATGTAATAACCCTAACCCTAACCCTAACCCTAAACCTAACCCTAACCCTAACCCTCTTCCCCTAACCCTAATCGTGCTTTTGTGGGTGCGGTTTTGTCGGCGCTCTTTTGTGGGAGCACTTTCGGCCTTGCGGTTTTCTTGGCGCGGTTTTGTCAGTGCGCTTTTGTTGGGTGCGCATTTGACGGGTCACGACTTGTCCCAGCTTCTGCCAACCTAGCAGTATACTAAATTCCTAGTATATCAATCTGAGTGTCTAGATTATTGGTTCTTTTAAAAAAAGATCTAAAATTGGAAAAGTAACCCCCAAAAAACAAAAACAGAATACAAGTTGCAACTGAGACTCCTATTTGAATCTCCCTACAGTTGCAAATGTATAGACAAGGCTATGGTTTTCCCAGTTGCAATGTATGTCTGTGAAGGTTGGACCATTAGGAAGGCTGAGCACCAAAGAATGGAGGCCTTTGAACTCTGGTGCTGGAGAAGACTCCTGCGAGTCCCTTGGACTGCAAGGTGATCAAATCGGACAATCCTAGAGGAGATCAACCCTGACTGCTCTTTAGAAGGCCAGATCCTGAAGATGAAACTCAAATACTTTGGCTACCGAATGAGAAGGAAGGACTCCCTGGAGAAGAGCCGCATGCTGGGTAAAGACTGAGGGCAAAAGAAGAAGGGGAGGGCGGAGAATGAGGTGGCTGACTGGAGTCACCAAAGCAGTCGGCATGAGCTTAAACAGACTCCAGAGGATGGTAGAGGACAGGAATGCCTGGAGGAACATTGTCCATGGGGTCGCAATGGGTGGGACATGACCGCAGCTCACATCAACAACACAGTTGCAAAGTTCAGAATGTAAGACTGTGAGTTTGTATTTTGAATGGATTGCACACGGAGCAAGGTCTTCTCCTTTCTGCTCACTCATGGAATATTACAAGCATTACACAGACTCTGGTCTCACCTGCAGTCCCATGCTTTCTGTTTTGTAGGTATCCGCACCGGCCAAGTCTTTCTGGATATCTCTCTGCAACAAAGAGGAAACAAAAATACTTCTTTCAAGTCTTCTATTTTCAAAGAGGGAAAAAATATTTCAAAAGTAGGCTATGTTCCCAGAATGTTGTAGACTCATTTAAAATGTAGTTAGCTAGCTTGTGGTTCAGCTTCCTGTGGGAGAGCCAGCCTCTATCTTTAGGTTATGAGCTTAAAGTCGGTTTGTTTAGACATTGTATGCTGTGTGATTTTGTCAAGATTTTTGAGCTGAAGATTAAGCAAGATGTGTGAATTCAGCTTTCTAGGCATTAGGGGCCCAAATCTTTAAAATTAGAGAAACAGGGGTATAATTCTCTCAATGCAGGGTTGGGCTGCTACAGGTTCGCCCCGGTTTGGGAGAACCCATAGCTAATGTTATGGCCGGTTCTGAGAACTTCCAAATCCCAACACTGGCTGGCCCTGCCCTGCCCACTCCACCCTTCCCCACCCCCAAATCATCTGGTGAGCTCCATAATCAAGTGACGTCATAAGAATCAACGTTTCTCTATTCTGGCCCAATATTCCAGCTCCAAAGCTCTTTCAGCAGTCACCAGGACCAGCTTGTATTTTCATCTACCACCCACCACTATCCTGCTTTTGAAAAGCTTAGAATGATTAAAAGTCCATTAATTATGAGACTGGAGAATTATGCTGGAGAAGACTCCTGCGAGTCCCTTGGACTGTAAAGCGATCAAACCGGTCAGTCCTAGAGGAGATCAACCCTGACTGCTCTTTAGAAGGCCAGATCCTGAAAATGAATCTCAAAGACTTTGGCCACCTAATGAGAAGGAGGGACTCACTGGAGAAGAGCCTCATCCTGGGAAAGATGGAGGGCAAAAGAAGAAGGGGATGGCAGAGAATGAGGTGGCTGGATGGAGTCATTGAAGCAGTAGGCGTGAGCTTAAATGGACTTCAGAGGATGGTAGAGGACAGGAAGGCCTGGAGGAAGATTGTGCATGGGGTCGCAATGGGTCGGACACAACTTTGCAACTAACAAAAACAATTATGAGATAGCTAAAAGGTACAAACATCCCAACTTTCATAACAACAATCGTTTCTCCAGCAGCCTTCATCCTTCCTGGCTTCTTATAAATACTAGAGGAAGATCTCCAGGTTTATTGCTTTCCATGGGTTTTCTCAGACTAGGAAGCAAGGACTTCCAGCAACTTTACAGAAGGATGGAAAGACAGAGAAAAGTGGAGAACCAGAAAACAAAGCTTCATTGGCTAAAATGAAGCTGAAGCCCAGTTAAAAAAGCTCAAGGACATGATGAGAAGATATTAAAACTAAAGTAACAGTGAAGGGGTCAAAACAGCAGCTACTTCAGCAGAGAAAGAAAATGTCCAAGAAACTGGAAAGCACATTTTTGCATAACATGAATAATTTTGTCCTTACCTGAATAGTGAAGGCGCAGAGGTTTCTGGTAGCAGCACTAAGTAAAACGAAGAGCACACAGATAACTTGAAGTTTCATCTTCCTTTCTTGAGTAAGGCTGGGTCCTTACAAAATAAAAATCTTCTCTTGCTCGTTCTCTCTCTGGCATAAACCAAGATTGTGTTGTAGGCAAATGAACGCAGGAGCCACTTTTAAGGATCACAGAGTCCCTCCCCTAGTTGGGATCAACCAATGATCAGTGATCCAGGAAAGTCCACACGTGGGCAAGATAATGGCCAGCAAACAGGTCAATAGAACTTATCACATTTGAACAGTAGCGCACATCCCTCAGACCTACTGGAAAAGGAGACAAATTTCCCAACTGACGTAACATGTCTGGGTCAGTTCCATCCGCATGTGCAAAAAAACTGAATAGACCAAGGCTGGTGTTAAGAAACCAGGAGTATATTCTGTTCCAGCTTTCATCCTTTCTGGGATTTTCCTAACCATTGCAGTAAGATTTACTGTAATTTTCTTCGCCGGGATTCAAAAATAAAACAGTCAAATCAGCACATGTCCAAAATAGGGAAATCAAGGTTTGGAACAAGCCATTCATCCACCCCAACGTTGTGCAAGAGATCTTCTGCCAGTCAGCGAAGCAGAGGTGGAGAACTCGTGAAATCAAGTAACATCAGCAGAGAAAGAGGTTGATGTCCCAATTTTGGGAAGGAAGAATGCCTGGAAAAATTAGCAGATCCAGATCTGGCCTTGAAGTTTATGCTTCCACAGGTTCTAATTCTCAACCTGACCTCAATAGATCAGAACATGCCATTTTTTTAAATCAAAGAGTTGGATTAAGTCGGATGCAATTATTTAAATATGGGTTGATCAGGCAACGAATTATCTGATCTTTTAAAAGGTGCATCCCATTTCTTGATTACCTAGGTTGTTGTAGATCACATATCATTTTAGTAGCTGCACAGACCACAATTCCCCCCCCCCCCCCGAATAGACATAAAACTGGACTTTTTGGAGTGGGAGGAAAGGAAGAGATTTGTAAAGGATTACCTAAAAGCTCCATTAGAAGAAGTACAACACAGAAATGAAGAATTAGTTAACACCTAAGTGTGAGTCTCACTTTCTGTTTAATCCATAAGTAAATACATGGTGTTAATGCTTCTAATTAATTCTGCTTCATAATAAAACCTGCTTTTGTCTGTTCTTTTTGCTATATTGTGGTAAATAGTAGAAATTTCCAGGGAGTTAAAATGTTCCCACTGGTATGGAGGTATTGTCAGTTTTGGTCTTAGAGTTCCATTGATAGTATTCTTCTTAGTAGTAGAGATTGGCCACTTTGCCCAAATTACAATAAATGTTTGAGTGGATAATTACAAAAAAAATTAGATGAGATTTATATATAGATCGAATGTCAGTTTAGACTGAAAAGTAGCTCAGTTGCGATGAAGTTAACTTTCATGATCACCATAGTTTTAAAACTCTTATGCAGTTCTACATTTTCTTGGGAACAGACTGCTGAATGCAGTGAGATTTACTTCTGAGTAACTATGTGGGCATTTATATTGTATAATTTCCAGCTCATTTTTTTATTTATTTTCTGAATTACATCCTTCAAATGAGTGCTTTCTTCTCTGGAGGTTCATGAAAAACTTCGACATGAAACTTTCATTTATTTGCTAGGCAAAAATAAAAGTTCAGTGGTTGAAAAATTACTCTTGCAAGCATTCAGCACACATTTTGAGCAGACTAGAGAAAGTTAGGGGAAATCTTTAACAACCACAAATTCTAAGGAATAAATACCAAATGATCAATACCTATAGTAAACTAGAGTGCACACAGTATATTGTCCCAAATTATAATATAATTTTTACAATTGCTATCACTATTGCAAACTCCATTCTTTTCAATGTATTTGTATAAATAAATCTAGAACTGACATCTTTCTAGAATTCTTAAAGAGAGAGAGAGAGAGAGAGAGAGAGACAGACAGACAGACAGACATAGTAGTTTGCTTAGTAAAGCAGGATTTCGGACACTCAGTTCCCCTTTTCGACATGTAAATATTTTTGAAATTGCAATTCATTTAAAAGATGAATAAGACTTCCTGTCTTTGACNAAAAAAAACAGGTCTACGTTACTTGCTGCTACAATAGTATTTTACCATTTTAGGAACCATTTATTGTTCTGTTTGTTTTTTTTATTTAAAAAAAATTCTGTTCAGAAGTGGGTAGAAGGGAAGGACACAAAATAGAGATTTCCTTTTTTTTTCCTTAAAAAAAAAACGAACCTCATCTCCTGATTTTTTTGTTTTTTGTTTTAAACCTGAAATCCTAAAACACTGCTGAAGTTTAATTAAAAAATTATATAATATCAAAAAACACGCACACGCACACACGCACACACAAAAAGCAACCCTGTTTGTCATTCGACCCACCACTATTGGCCTTTCCTAACAACCTGGGATTCAGCTATCATACAAACACCGTACCTCTATACAAACGCGCCTTTTAAACTAATAAAATAAAGATTACTTACAAGAGAGAGAAGAGGGGGGGGAAAGAGAGACAGAGACCAGGATGGGAAAGGAAAGTGAACTTTTAGGGTGGTTCTGGCCAGTGGAAAGAAAAGAAATGTGAGACAATGGTTCGAAGAACTGTCGTGACTCGAGTTACGAGGACGGAGTGGGGAAAAAAAAAAAGGCAGAAATTCAGCATCAGACGGCTTCTCTCCGTGACAAAATATGCATCTAAAAATCCCGTGGGTTTGATTTGCAAGTCCCCAGAAAGTGAGATAGAATTCTGTTTGGCATAATGAAAAAAAAAATTTGCCTGCAAATGCAAAAAGTTTTTCTTCTTCTTCTTTTCCTGCGTAAGGCCGTGTCCAACCTCGTCGTAAAACAGTACACCCCCCCCCCCCCCCCGTCTGCAGGCTGTGTTCAAACGAACTGGCTACGCATGTGTGAGTGTTTGTGTCAACCTGAACCGCGGAATTTTCTTCCATTTCAACCAGACGTACCTGTGACACTACGCCCTGGGGGGGGGGGGGCTTTAGTCGTGCGCCCAAACAGAACAGCCCCCCCTCCACTTGAAGCAAGATGCCAAAAACATGCAGAAGAGACGTGAAAGAAAGAAGGAAGGAAAGAAAGAAAGAAAAAAGAAAGAAAGAAAGAAAAAAATCTAGCAGTTCTTTTTTTTTTCCTTTTAAAACAGCCAAGATGGGTGTGTGCTTCCCCCCANGTAGCTCATTCCATAGGGCCGGAGCGGCAACAGAGAAGGCCCTACTCCGAGGCGTCGCCAGCCGACATTGTCCAGCTGATAGCACCTGGAGAAGGCCCATCCTGTGCGATCTTATCGGTCTTAGGGAGGTATGCCCTAACCCATTATTTTCAGATTTCAGTGCAGCTGTGAAGGTGAAGATCCTTGCCGTTCAATGTATGATGCCAAAAAGAGAGTAGGTAGGTACCCCTTTCCCCCCCAAAGATGTCAGAAATACTTATTTTTCAGAACGTCTGAACAGAGTTGAGCAATCAAGGGAGGGAGACACGTAGAAATGAAGAATATGATTCTAAACCCAGGATAATATTTTGATTATTATTAGCCTCCAGTGGTAATGGGAGATGTCCATTGGCATACAGGCAGTCCTCAACCTACACGACCGTGATTGAGTCCGAAATTTCGATTGTGAAGTGAGACGTTTGTTAAGTGAGTTTGGCCCCGTTTTATGACCATTCTTGCCACAGTTGTTAAGTGAATCGCTGCGGTTGATCACCCGGTTGTTAAGTGAATCTGGCTTCCCCGTTGACTTGTCAGAAGTTCACCAAAGGGGATCACATGATCCTCGGACACAGCAACGGTCATAAATAGGAACCAGGGGCCAAGCATTTGAATTTTGATCACGTGACTGTGGGGATGCTGCCGAGGTCGTAACAGTGAAAAAGAGCCATCACTCAACATTATTCAGGGCCATTGTAACTTCCAACAGTCAATAAACAAACTATTGTAAGTACTTCCTGTACTTTGTACAAGGAGTGGCAACCTTTTGAAAATTATTGTTGCTTCATTGCCTCAGTCGAGCGGAAAGATGGGTGAGTTTAAGCTGACAATGCAGGAGTGGACTTCAAAAATTTTAGTAATGGCTTCTCTGACTGGTTGTTGGATAGGCGTGGCCAAGGTGGGCGTGGCCTAGTCAGCCTCCTGCAATATGGCAAGGAGGGGAGTTTTCGCTCTCCCCGGACTCCGGTGGCTTTCCTCGAGCCTCCGGAAGGACAAGAACAGCATTCCCCAAGCACCGGAGGCTCCCTGGAGGCTGGAAACGGGTCCATTTCCAGCCTTCCAGCATCTCCAGGAGGCCCATTTTTAACCCTCCGTGCGGGCCCTGCACTTACCTGGCATCCGAAATGGGCCAAATGGAGGGGCATGTCCTGGGAGGGGCATGGTGGGTGGGGCCAGCCAGGAGTGGAATTTGGGGATCGCCATGCAGAATCTGCACTAGAGAATCACCCGAACCCAGGCGAACCTGGAGCAGCCCACCTCTGAGACAATGTACAGCCAAACAGGAATAGGAACATGCTCTAGTGGTGTTCACACAACACATACGCACAGCAGTTGCAAATCTGGCAGCCACATTTGCTCAATGTGCTAAGCCAGGTTAGTTTTTTGTGGAGTAGCCCCTTTTGTGTGAATTCCATCTGGATAGAACTTTTTAATTCAGGTTGCGCCGGCATTGTAAGTAAAGCTTTGAAACCCTTTCAACATTGCTGTTTCCATTCTCTTTACGAAGTTGCATGTTTTAGGAAGGGACACCGTTGACTCTTAAGGCAAGTAGGGTGAGAGATAGGTACCTTGAGCTATATACTAGACCAGGAGTGTCAAAGTCAAGGCCCGGGGCCGAATACGGCCTATGGGGTACTTAGATCTGGCCCATGGCCCACTGTGGAAACAGCGAAGAACTGTCCTGCAGTGCTTCTGCCAGCAAAAACATAAGTTTGCGAGGGCCGTGGGTAGCCCTCTGGAGCTCCGTTTTTGCTGGCAGAGAGTTGCAGGAGGCTATCCCAGCCAAAAACGGAACTCGGAAGCTCGTTTTTGTTGGCAAAGTGCTCGGGCCACCACAGGTACTAACCACGAGTGACATTGAAGTGACCATACCCACCCTGGCCAGGCTCAC